TATTTAATCAGAATTCTATAAGACGATTTTCTTTCATTGTCCATGTATCGTGTAGCTTGGTTAGCCAAAAATTTTCCCCAGCACAGAAAGTAGCCTCATAATAAGTCGAATCTTCGCAAGTTTAGTCGAATTAATCAAGACAGAGAAAAATAACGGCCCATGCATATTCTTCATAATCATAAATGCCGGATAATGAAATAAAGAGCTGAATTGATAAAAGATGTGATATAAAATCATACATCTTGTGATTATCGATACTATCGCGCTGGAGATTAATTGCAAGTAATGGAGAGTAAGTGCGTATATCCTTATATAAGCACGCCATTTCTATAATGGTCGCCGTGACAATGGCTGTAATCACGTGCGCGTTAATTATTATCATTATCAACCTTATGGTAATCGTCCGGTAAGATTTATATTCCCGCGTTTCTTAAGGTTTTATCTTTACATCTTTTACTACGATCACCTCGACAATGTAACTCGCGAGAATTATTTTACAATTAGCCGCGATTTTCGATCGTGTTGTTTCAATGGTTTTATCACACTGTAGATTGCAGCGCTTACTGTCCTTCCACAACTTGTGAAAGTACTAATGTCCACTTGTACACTGAAAAAACTGGTGTTGAATTAAAAACAATTAGCTAATCAGAATATTCTTCAATGTCGCCAGCGGTAATTGACAACGTCAGTGTTTTCTTGACCATACCTGGCATTTTTAATAATACAGACAATTTATTGCGAAAAATATTACCTCAGCCAGGGTTTCAACCTGGACCTCCCGACACTCTAGGCGGGCGTCTAGAGTCGCGTCTAGAGACGTCTACCCTGGCTGAGGTAATATTTTTCGCAATAAATTCTGTATTATTAAAAATGCCAGGTATGATCAAGAAAACACTGACGTTAAAAAAAATTAAGTCGATTGAATTAAACGTTGATGTCACGGGCTGCCACAAGCATAAATAATTCACTCAATTGTATTTGCTACATGGATTTTAATTTTAGGCATCGAACTAAATATCCAGATTATTAAGACAGTTATCTCATGTTTTGCATTTATCAATCAGTTACACTGATATTGTTGATACAACACCTTTTTTCCGTGTACCAATGCAGATTAACTTTAGTTCGCCGTTCAACTTACTTTTTATCTTTTCTTTTGTTCTTCCTCTACGGGAACGTTTTTAACCTTTCGATTATTTGACGTAAATTTTTATCCTTTTCCAATTCCTAAAACTAGAAAATGATACAAAGTACGTTACACCGAGATCAAAGTTAATCCGGCATTGGTAGAAATGGGCGTAAGACCCTCTTTCACCAATCTCGGTTAGATTAACCGACGGTTAAAATCTGTAGGGTGTCAACAGGATGATTACCTTCACCTACGTTTCCTGTTGGCACCCTGCAAATTTTCTCGTCGGTTAATCTAAAACCTTGCGTCCACGCTCCAAGAACTATGTCCAAGTTCTAGTCCCGAGAAATGTGTAGCCAATCAACTTGCATCTTGTACGGAAAAGCTGCAAGTTGATTGGCCACACATTTCTCGGAGCTAGAACTTGGACACAGTCCTTGGATCTTGGAACGCGAGGCTTAACTGGGGCTGACGAAAAGAGGCCCTAAAATCGAATCGAGCATCTTTTGCTTTCGTCCGTCCCCCAGGCTGCTGGTCGTGCTCATAGTTCTGAATGACTGAGATTCGTTTGTATCTCACTTCTCCATCTACAAACTCTCTCTTCGTAATCAGATACCGTGGAAATTCACTCCGTGCCACTCGATGATGTATGAACGACATGATTACGAGCGTGCCATCAGAAATTCCGACGCGCACTTCGGTTTTCTCGGTTAAGTATCGGCTGTAGCCTCGTTCCGTTAGACCTTCTCGTTACCTTGCCGCGGGCAGTAATTTCGACGTCGTTCGTCGTCGTCGTCGTCGTCGTCGTCGTCGTCGTTGCATACGCAATTGGTTCGTCTATTAATCTGAATCATGATGTTACGCTTGAAATAATTTAATTTGAAGTGTCGTGTCGGCATGCTTTCACGCGGAGTTACGAAATTGCGGCGCTGTGCCGTGACGAAGAGCCACGTCATCGATATAATTGCGCCTTACGGATTTCGTTCCTAATATCCTTCTACGCTCACATACGCAGCTGCTGTCGCGCGATGTCGTAACACTTTGCGAGTTTTCTCGAAGGGCGCACGAATACTCGTGTAATTGGAAATATCGTTAGCGATTGAGTCTACAAATTTCTGACTCTCCGACGTCGCGTTTTTCGTATCGGCGACTGTGAAGACTAACGTTGGATTTTCGCCGTTTAATTGCAGAGCCCAGACGCTGGAGCGCGGCAGATGTGGCGGCTTGGGTGCAGTGGGCCAGGCGGCAACTGCAATTGCCCTCGGTGCCGATGGAGAGTTTCAACGTGGACGGCGCGACGCTGGCCTCCCTCACGGAGGAGGAATTTTGCCAGAGAGCTCCTCAGGTGAGCGCGAACGTACTATTGTTTGTTTCATTTTAGTCGAAACCAAAGTTCAAAGAATTATAGGCGATTGCCATACGGGGAGAATTTTCGCCTATTTATCCTGAAAATTATGTGATCGTGGGACGTGGAATTTTCAAGAACTTTGAGAGTTTTTCGAAATTTTACCATACATTTTACTAGTAAAATGTATACTAAGTATAATTACTAGTGAAATGTGTGGTAAAATTTCAAAGACTCTCATAAAATTCCTTGAAATGCCGTGTTGTCCCACGATTACATAATTTTCAGGATACATTTTAAAAGAAAATTTTCTCCGTACAAGTCTCCTTCATTTTATTATTTTTTCTTCTGCAAAGATATTACTGAGCGCCGCGTCTTTTCTCGCAATCTTTTCATTTTTGATATTAAATATGTTGCGCGTACATGATCGAATTTGCTTGTTCAAAAAATTCATAATACACATCTGATTGAGGATTTTATAGGCACCGGTTTCAATCTTCGAACAAAGAAGTTCCTTGAGATAATATAAGAAAAGTTTTGCATTAATTTTTTATTCTTTACTTTTACATCTCGTCGTGTCCGACTTTTATTTTCTCGCACACTTGGCGTTCACCGCATGCACGCCTCGCAGCTTTGACGTGTACCGTTACGCAATGCCTCGCGTCTGCGATGATCGACCTCGTCGCCGTCGGTGATCGTACGTGCTTTCGACGAATCAATCAGCGGCATGATTTTCGAAATGATTTTATTTCACGTTGATGTAAGGAGGTTTGACGCGATGGCGAGAGAAAAAAAAACACTTAAATTTGCGCGTGGGTTTTTTTTTGCATGACATCCTCGTGAATGCTCGATGATGTTAGCAACAATAATAAAGTAATATTCAGTCTTGCGTAAATACGTTCTTATCTGCCTCATTGATATCGGTGGATTTTTCACGGGGCTTATCTCTCGTCGCGTCGCGAAAATTTATAATTTTGCATTTATCGCGGCAATTGCCGTATGACGCGTTCGTTTCGTTGTTAATTTCTATTTTTGGTAGCAAAAATTTTCAATAATCAAGTGCTGAAAATTAGTTAAATTTATCGCGAACTTATTTCTTACTTAATTAATCCTGAATATCATCAGCGCTTATCAGCGAGAGTAAAGCGTGATATAATATGATGGACGTGAATTGGTAAAAGTTGTAAATTGACGTCTCAGTGAAATTACGGCAATTAAATTTAAGTTTGACCAGCAGGAAAGTTATCACGCAATCAGCGAGCGAGATTTTAACTTGATCCTTTATTACCTTAACGATCCGCGATCGTTGTGAGCAAGTTCGTGTTCGTGCGATGAGGAAACCAAAAGGGGACTTGAGAAATGTCCGTTGTCGAGGTCCGGTGAAAGTGAATTTCCTGGTAATCGATGTGCACGTTTACGCTCCTTCCGCGTAATCCGGACTCGAGAAATAAATGGTAAAATATACGCCGCCCAAGATTTCGACATAACGTAACGGGACGGGAATTCCCCCGAGAATCATCCGGCGCGTGAAAGTTACACGTTTGCGTCAAGGATATGGATTCAGGGAAAAAGGCCCTTAAGATTGTCCAAGGTTGTCTCTCCCCGTATTAACCGATTCCTTCGAACCAAATTGAAACTCGCTCGTCGGTAATCTGATATTACACAGTTGAAAAATTTGTGTTAAATTTAACAGATATCACATGTCCCAAACGGTCCAGACAAATTTTTGTGTTAATTTAACACAATACGGATGTGTTAAATGATCATTGATATAACTTTTTGTGTAAAATTAACATATTTTTAATGACAAAATGAATTTAAAAAATATTATTTTTACATTTTACAGATGTAATAAGTTAAATGACGGTTCGAAATCACTCTCACATATGTTATATAATATATAGAATAAAATCAACATTTTGTTTTGTAAATTTTAGCAGATAAATTTTGTTACTAATAAAATAGAACATGTGTATTGTGTCAGATTCAAGAATAAGAACACGTTGTGTTGTTTTAACATTTCTTTTTAGTTATTTTAATAATTCTACATTTGAGGTCCATTAACACAAGAGCAATATGTTAAATTAACACATGAATGTGTTAAGCATTTAACACAAAAATTTTAACCGGCATTCTTTTTAACAAGAAAACAGATTTTTCGACTGTGTAACGATATTGGCGATAAATACATACACGGGGAGAATTTTCTCTACCATACATTTTACTAGCAAAATGTATGGTAAAATTTCAAGATCCTGTTGTCCCACGATTACATGATTTTCAGGGTAAATTTTAAGAGAAAATTCTCTCCGTGTACCAACGAGAAAGTGTGATCGAAATATAAATTTTAATATAACCATCTCTCCGTGCCGTCTTATTTCGAATAAAACAATATTTCATATTATCATATCGAATATTTTTATCGCATAATCTTGTATGTAACAACGACACGATCAATTTTGATTACAAATACATCTGGTGCACATTTACATTTGCTGTAAATGCAATCTTCTACCTCGCAAATAATGTCTAATTCAAGAATATGCGATTGCAAATACCGCGGTTCGATTAACACATAAAGTTACTTAATTACTTACAAGGTACTGTTAATAATCAATCGTTGATATCCTGGCGTGATTATTTGACGAACCAAAGTATGGAATTATCTTAAGAATACATCACTATTCGAAGAGAACTAAGAAAATAACAAATTGCGACGGCTACTCCCCGCTGGCTTTCCCGATACTTGTGCATACAAACTGCATTAAGTCGTTTATTAAGTAACGAGTTTTATATCCATCGGCATCGAGCGTGCTAAAAACCGGTTGCGCTAATATTGATTATACCTACCGTCGACTGTAGTTAACCCTAAACTTGACAAAGCCAAGATAGCTGGGAAACTGAACTTGACATTGCATTGTAAAACGAAGCTCAATGATTTTAACAAATTAGTCTTTTTCCAAGAAGCGCGATCCTTTTTTATACAGCTGCAACACTTTTCGTTCATCGACTATTTTATCAGTATAATAATTATGGCAAAGAAAGGAGACGGAGAGCAAAACACACTTCCTCGCTTCATTACCTGAGAATTAATTTTTTTCTCCGCCACCTTCCTGAGCTCGCTGAAGAAAAACAGGAAATATCAAAGTCACTTAAGAAGCTGCAACATTATCAATGCGGTATAAACTCCGGGCGATTATGTTACGTTTCTAAATCGTAAACAGGTAAATCTCGTAGTCCCGCCGATCGATGCGCATCTCATTATTCCACGAGAATTACAGGCGTAAGTCTAACGGAAATTAATAGCGAGTAGCTGTGTGTATGGCGAGCAGCGAGGGAAGTAGTCATGCATAATGGATTCCGCTTTGCGTCTAGTAATTGGATAATCGCGCCGCGAAGTACCGCGGTAGTCCTCGTAGCGTGGAATCATGGTCAGGCTTATGGTCACGTTCTATCTGCGATCTCGCCGAGTCCTTTCCTCGTTCGTTCGTGCTTCGTTGACGCGACGTGCGGTCGAGTTTCCTTCGCGGACTTCATTCATGGTTCAACTCACAAATGTGCACGCGCACTCCGCGCGCCGTCCGCCAGTTCGACTTTGCGGGCGCGATTCAATCCAGCGGATTAAAAATTAGTAAAGCCCCTATTATAAGATGGCGGGTTTTCAAAATCAATCACGAGTCTTTTTCGCAACAATTACATGGTCGAACAATTAATTTGCTACTAAACAAATTTCACTTTCAAGGCAATGAATTCATAGAGCCAACAGATGCCTATTAATTTAGCAGAAACCCCCCCGCTATCTCGTATTAGGCGCTTATCTGATAATAGGGGACTTTCCTTTATCTGTCCATATTTTTTTTCTCTCGAAGGTGTCGATTAATCGCCTGGTCCGTCGAATTCTCGCTGACGCAACGCGGCAGTGGAATTACAAAAGGCAGACCGCGCGAGAAAACAGATTACTGGATAAATTTCCTCTGAATCGAACGAAGGGTGAAATGTCGGGCAAAAAGTGAAAGAGCAGAAAATTGGATTGCATTTAATGAGTGGCGTTCAACGCTGACGCGTAAGCCCCGGACGAGTCATGCCCACACTCGCTCCTCGAGGAAATAATTATGGCATTCCTTGTGGTTTGGTATCGCGCCTTAATGACGGCGATTATCGATACGCGAGAATATTTGTTTCTCGGAACATTGCGAAGTATCCGAGCATGATTGCGCCGCGCGGATGAGGCACGCAGGAATGCCGCGCGCGGATTACATCGGCAGATCGGAGGAGAGCGTCGCGCCGTAAGCACCACGCGGTCTAATTTCAACAATTAAATCCTGCAAATGATCGTTACACGTTCAGGACAACAGCTATAAATATCGGTCCCGATCGCCCGAGATGAAGTCTCTCGTCGAAACGAGCATCTTGCGTTCTCGGATGCCGATGCACTGAGGACAATTTGCATCGGATAAACCGATTATGGTGTTTTCGATGGTTAATTTTTCCGATTAAATTACGGCTACATCCGATGGAATGCAGTCGCCGATGAAATTTTTGTGAAAAAACCGATCATATTTTTCGTCGGATGTACAATTTAATCGGATATATCTGTTTGTTATTATGTAATTGCGGATTATATTTGTACATTTTTGTACGTTTGTGCACCGTGCGAGGATAAGCGACGTGAAGACGTAACGGCGCTGCAGAGCCGCGTCCGAAATGCATGTGCGTGCGTGCGTGCGTGCGTGCGTATATACCGCTTCTCGGACACTCATTCCGCGATCAGCAGGATCGGCTTCGCCGTGCCTACCGGTGAGCGCGCCATTGGCTCAGCAGAAACGATCGAGAAGTGGGTCAACCGCTCGAATGTCTTGCTGCGTTGCGTCTCTCTCGACGGAGAGCCGCTTTCTCTTCTCTCGCGCACAACGAGTCTTCCATTGGAATTCTAACGCTCCTAACGTGCTTCTCCGTCTCTATCTCTCCTTTTTTCTCTAATTCGTCTCTTTTTTCCCCCGTGCTCGCCTTTCATCTTTAATAGTCACCGTAAGTTTGAGAGCAACCGAGCAGGCTTTGGTCCTCGGGTATGCGCCTCGATTATCTGACATGTGGACAGACCCCGCGTGAGTTTGACCCGTTAAAATAGAACATTGATGACTGCGTTGTTTAGGGCCTCTTCCACCAACCTCGGTTGAAGAAAACAGAGGTGAAGGTAATCATTCTTCGGCTCTATTTTCCGTTGACACCCTGGAAATTTTAACCGTCGATTAATCTCCAACCAGGATTGTTTGAAAGCCTTATGTCCACTTCTACCGATGTAGTTTGGCTTTAATCTCGGTTTAAGTTGCTTTCCATCTTTTTCCAAGTCTCGGTCCAAGTTCTAGCATCGTGGACGCAGGCCTTTAGAACTAGAAAAAGATAAAATGAAAGTTAAACCGAGGCTAAAGTTAATCTGCATTGATAGAAATGTACGTTAATGCCGTAGAATATCGAAGCTGTGGGTGATCAGGCTGATAATGGTATCACGCTGTTTATGTTGAAGTGCGGGAGCATGCTGCACGCACAGTTGGAGATCTGGAAGGCCGCCGTTGAGGAGTCACCGCGGAACACTCTGGCCGCTTCCTGGAGCCCCGCGGGGGTGGTTCAATCACCGAACGGCGCCGTAACGCCGACGGTCGGAAACGCAACGGTCAGCATCAAGGAATCTCCCTGCGCCGTAGATTTCTCAGATGGTACGTTTTACGCTTCTTGTCGGGGATGTGTCATAGAGTTTAAAATTACATAGATGGTTTACGTATTGCTTACATTATGTTTACGCGAATATTTCTCACGTGGAAGACGATCAGTATAAATTATTATACATTTAATGACTGATTGATTAATTAATCAGTCTCTGCGCGGAGAGAATTTTCTCTTAGAATTTATCCTGAAATTCGTGTAGTCGTGGGACAACGCGGCATTTCGAGGAATTTTATGAGAGTTTTTGAAATACCATACATTCCACCATACATTCCATACATTCTACTAGTAATTATACTTACAATTAGTATACATTTTACTAGTAGAATGTATGATAAAATTTCGAAAAACTCTCATATATTTCTTCAAAATGTTGTCTCACGATTTTCAGGCTAAATTTCAAGAAAGATTTCGAAGAACTTGACGAGAGCTTTTTGAAATTTTACCATACATTTTACTAGCAAGACCTATGGTAAAATCTCCAAAAACTCTTATACAGTTATTGAAAACGTCCACGATTACATGATTTTCAGGATAAATTTTAAGAGAAAATTCTCTCCGTGTGTAAACCGCATTTTTTGCAAAAAGATCTACAAAACTAAAACGCCCAACCCTCTTTCTTGTATCATCCGGCGAACTATTGGTGCGCGAGTCGTGGTCAACTCGTTTAACGAAAAAGTAACGTGGACTCGCTCTATTTCCTTGCGCGATTCCACACGCGAATAAAACGTAAGACAACAATGTAAGGTTGAATCGCCGACATTAGATTCTCGCGTATAGTCAGTACACATATGCAGTTTCGCTTCTCGTCCCTCACCCTCGCGTCCCCCTTGATTTTTCGCACGCAGACGAGGACGAGGATTGCGCCTCCGCTCAGGGCGGCGGCAGCGGCGGCAACGGCGGCGGCAAGATGCGCAACGGCGGCAGCCACATCCACCTGTGGCAGTTCCTGAAGGAGCTGCTGCAGAGCCCGGGCGTTCACGGCTCCTGCATACGCTGGCTGGACCGCAGCAAGGGGGTCTTCAAGATCGAGGACTCGGTGCGCGTGGCGCGGCTCTGGGGCAAGCGGAAGAACCGGCCCGCGATGAACTACGACAAGCTCAGCCGCAGCATCCGGCAGTACTACAAGAAGGGTATCATGAAGAAGACGGAGCGCAGTCAGAGACTGGTATACCAGTTCTGTCATCCCTACTGTCTATAAGGGAGATTCCACCGTCTCTCCCTCCGCCTCCCGCCCCCTTCCCCGCGTTTTCCTCTTCGTACTATGAGCCCGCGATCACTCTCTCTTCCTGTGCGCGCATAGGCGCCCGCGATCTGGAAGGCGAGTGACCTGAGGAAGAGTCCAGCACAAAGATCGAAAGGTAAAAAAAAAGGAAAAAAAAATTATGATCCGCCATGCTCGATATTATCCCGTGACGATAACGCCGAGCCACGGCCGGGTCCGCTTTTAGTACGCCCGTTTTGGGCGATCACTTTTGCCTTATTCTCCTCCTTTCCCGCTCCCTTTCACTTTCCCTCTCTGTCCCCTGTGTGTACGTACGCGTGTGCGTGTGTGCGTGCCTGTGCGCTCGCATGTGTGTGTGTGTGTGTGTGAGTGTGTCTTCGAGTTTTTTTTTTTTAATAACATAATGTATAATAAGCACGCGATTCTCCACCGAGTCGCCCCTTCGTCTCGACGTGAGCTTTCGTCCGGAGGCGAGGACGCGAGCGGGTGGAGAGTCGCCAGAGAAAAGGGAAGAAATGACTCTTTCCTCTCTGTTCTCACGATCGCTTGTCGGCACCAGTCCGTCGGATCCTCGAGCTATCTCCGATAACGCGCGCGACACGCCGGCGGGTCACCGCGCGATCAGCGCGCGGAACTATTCGCCACTGCCCGGTGCCCGCCCCGATCGTTCCTCGGAATCGCCGACGAAGTCTACAACAGAGACAATCTATTTTTTATACCAAGAGACAAATTTTCCAATCGCCGCGACGCCGTTTCCTTCCGCTTCGCCGCGAGCGTACGTGGAGCGCGGAGAACGAAGAAGAAACGAAATGTCGAGATCCGCAGCCGCGGCATCGCGCGGTGTCACGTGCGTTCAACGGAAGATGAAAACATCTTCGCGCCGACGTAATCATTACCTGCTCGCGGCGGGATAAGATTGTTAATTACATTTTTGCGCGATCTCTGACACGCGCGGGGCTCGCGGAAATATTTTTGCTGGCGCGCGCGAAGGTGTTCATTAAGCTGTCGAGAGTGCCTTAGACGCGCGCGGGTGGGAATCGCGACGACGAAGGACGTTTTCGAGCCGCGGAGGATTCCCAGTCGGAGCCATGGTATAACTAGCGTGCTCGCACTGTCATTTGTTTCGTTTTGCGTCGATCCACTTTGCGCATCCCGACACATTGTTGGTCCAGCCAATGAGAGGAAAACGTTGTGTGTGCGGTGGTGTATCAGAGAGCTGCGCTACCACACACGCGCCACTGGATTTGGACCGAAGACATGGCGGAATACCACGCGATCGGGGCCAGGTGTAACATTCCACTCGTGTAAACGCGCACGCGTGACCAATCGGAAATTTGCCCCAAACCTTGAAGCTGCAAATCATCGCGGTTGAACGTAGCAAGAACCGATGAACAATTTGTCCCAAAAACTGGTTACGTGCGCAATGTTTCACCTTGATCGGGACCGAAAAGATCGAAGGGGCCGACAGAGAGTGAACGAACTAGTTATATTATGGTCGTCGCGTAGCGTCGCGGGAAATTCTACTCTGAGTCACGAGGATCCTCCGTTCGGGCGAGAAAGGGAACAGTTTTACGGCGATCGCGTTGCGCTCGAGGCGTCTCAGACGCGCGGCTGGTGCTGGTGATTTTGGTCCTATATATCTATGATATATTAAATACTGTATGTTCCATGAACGATTAGGCTTTAAGGCAAATTAGCTGCGTAAGCGTACCGGGGGCTCACGTGAGTCACCCTTAGGTTACTCCAAGAGATTTCCTCTTTCTTTCCTCTCTTCTCCTCTCGCGCTCTCGCACCTTCTTACTGCGGCGATCGCGTCGATCTTTCACGCTCGTATAGCTCGCAAGCGGCACCTGACGCGTTTTTGCATCTCGTCTTTCTTTTCATCGCTTGCACGTTATTCGTGTTTAGTGAGTTCGGATTAACTTTCGAATTAACTGCATTACTTCATTTTTCCATGCAAATTATCGGGAAATGGGAGGGGGGGGGGGGTTCACGTATCATTCTCCATCGCTTTCTCTTTATAACATACGTCCTTCGGATATTTTAGTAACCGCTTGCTCGCGACTTTGAGTTACGCATATGAAATACAATTAATATAGAATTTGGCGAATTTCGACGTAGTTAAGCGTAAGTATTTTACTAACGTGTCCACGTTCGCTCACCAATCGGTTGTATATATACAGACAATGTATGCAGGCATTACCATTTTATGTATTCGTTAATTTTATTTATTTAATCGAGTCTGTTTTATAGTTGAGACAATGGTACGATTTTGCCGTGTAACGTTGGAAGCGTGGCGTCCCGTTGATGCCGATTCTGTGACTGATATCGGTACCGTTTCAGTTCGCTCGTGCAAATTTCACGGACTCAACGTCGGAGATTATTACTGCTGCTGTTTCTCGGTCGTGCGAAAGTGCAATCGATGAATAGTGCAATTACGTCTGTGCGTCTGTTAACATTGGACTTGAATCAGCGCGCTTTGGCTGCGCGACGTCTATTGTTCCGAATCGCAATAAATAGAATAGGTAAACCACGTGGTCGTTGGCACGGGAAGGTTGAAAAATCGATCTGCATTTGTTTCTTGACATTTTACAAAGTAAGACAAATGTACCAGTGAATAATAAGAAAGCATGATCAGCTACAAATTTTTATTCATTAAGTAGTTAACACAATCACTAACGAAACTAACGTTTGTATAAAACTTTTCGTCGATCGAGAAATAATGGGAAATAAAATAATCAATAATAATATCAATTATAATTTTAACAAGATGTTAAGCGCGGTAGTTATTGAATTGAAAAACTAATCATGTCGTAATGCGCTCAATGATTATATGCTCATTAGATAATATTTTTAATTGGCATATCTTTTAACAGAATTTTAAAAGCTTTTTTAGAAATTCGGAAATTTTAAATACAAGTATATAATTAATGTTTTAATCATTGGAACATGTTCGATCACTGGGACATTTATCTTATTCGCGAGGACCAACTATTTTTTATTTAAAAAAAGCAAGATTTAGTCGACCTTAACTGGCCAATGTTTAATATAATAAAAATATATAATACGACGTTTCGACCTTCGGGTTTAGGCCCTTCTCAAGCAAAATCTTAACGAATGATCGAGCCACTGCGATACGAAGTCATTTGGTAAAAGTTAGAAAGAAAGAGAGTGAGTCATAATTATAAAATAACGGGAGCAAAGTTAAAGATGTACGCAGTATTCAAAGGCTGGAGAATGACTATTGTTTTATTGTTTTGCCCGCGTAATGGCCCGCGAGTTGAACGCTTTGACTCGAGCTGACACTTGCGACAAGGGATCACCTTTTAACGATGACGCGCGGGCTGCTGAAGAATTCAAGTCCCTTGTTTCGAAAGCAGAATTTAAAGCCAAAGAACATGGCGGCGCGAACGAGCGAATGCCAGATCTGTCTGGAACCAGGCCTATCGAGGAAATGAATTTGCTCGCGTAATTAGATCGTAGCGCGCTTCCACGGCTGCTGGATTTCTACGACGCGATACATTTTTTTTTATGCGGCCTGGCATGGAACGCTCGTCAAATCGGAAGTAGACCGAGGCGGGACTCAAAACACTATTGTTTTATGCGTATAAATTAAAATTGAGAGAAATATTGCAGATTATACTGAGAAACAGCGTTCGGATTTATTTTATTTGCGACTTTGATTTTCCGGCATACAATCGTCTTAAGCTATCATCTTATCACAAGTTCAAAACGATAAGTGAAGTCTTTTTCCAACTTCACAAAACTATATAAATGCACAGAAAATGTCTTTTATCCTCCTGAACGAAACGATCCAGGCTTTTGCGTGATCGTTAAAAGTCTTTATATTTAAGATCGTCTGCGGTCCGTTTCTGTGCCAGGTTTCATCTCATTCTGTGAGTTTAACGGTAGTCGGTTCGTCAATTCCGCGATAAAGCGCAAGGGAGACCCGAAAGCGGGAAGGCAGGGAATTTATCCTCGATAGCTGCACAATAACGGAAAGGAAGAATGCAGTTCGTTGACACGGGCAAAACCAAGGAGCGCGGTTAATTTTGCAGCTAGGCAGAGAGGCGGGAGATGATAAGATCAGGCGAAACGACGCGAGTAACATCCGATAGATCCCAATTGCGCGACGACATCACAAAGCGGCCATTGTTGCGTATAACCGACTGTTTATTTATTAAATTATTAATTTGCTAAGGTAGAATCGTAAGACTAGAGATAACGCGAATATTTTTTAAATACAACGCGTTTACCAACAGACGTATTTTTCGTTTAAAAGTCAAAATAGCCTCTCGACAAGACGTTGATATTTCTTGTGGTACAAGTATATAATTGAGAAATTAGGATCTGTCGAAACCAACCGTAGGATTTCGATGAGAATAACGGAGGCTTCAACTGGAATTATTTTCAAGTAGACTTTATTTTCGCAGAATCTCACGCAATTTGAAGTTGATAAAAAAAACCTTTCCCCGTTCACCAAATACGTCCGTTGTTAAGCGTCACATATATGTATAAGGGATACACGTTGTCGTTATCGAATCGTTACGAGATTACTAATGTTGGAGTTTATTGGAACCGGTGGAGTTCACTTATCTTACTGAGAGAAAGCGACGAAAAGTGGCTTAGTGAGAGAAAATCGTGCTTCCATTTTCCCAGTGATTTTTGGCAAGATATTTCGGTATATATTTACTTACGTGCGTGCGCGTTAAAAATTTCTTGTAAATATTTACGACGAGAGAGTATATCTTTTTGTAGCCGATAACCATACGATTAAGGCGTTACTGGTTTTATATGAGCAGAGATTTAATTAGAATTAAGCGTTGATTTTCTACGTAACCGCGGTCTTGCTCCGCAAGACATTTTGTTATGCATATATATTATATATATTTATATACTCATGTTCGACTGTTCTAATGAGATTAGGATGGATATGGCGAGTAGACGTGGCAATAATCGTAGTCAAGGCTGTTCTCAAAGCACGCCGGTAAATTGGCATACGAGAGAACAATGCTATCGGAAGTCTGTTGCGTGGTTCGAAGACAGATTAATGTCGATTATAAGCGACGGCGACTGGAACGCTTGATACATTTCGCACGTGGACTGAGGTAAGCCTCGACGAAAGCAATAATATTATTATTAACGAAAAAAAATATATATATACACATATATATTTTATTACGACGATATTTTTGCTGCCGATATTCGGAGCGAGTTACTAACACGAAGCAGAGAGAAGTAAAACGGAATAAAAAAAATGTCACGAAGCGCGCGTTATCGATAATTTGTCCCGACCACCGTTCTCCAGATTCCCGAAGTTTGCGCTTGTGTCATTCAGCTGATCCCTGAAGCCACCGTCACGCCAACGCTGAAGGAACGGCACGCACTTTTTGAACATATTGAGAATCGCCCGGCAGAGAGGCGAAAGCGACGCGGTGAAAGTCCTTTGGTCGAATTTCTAATCGTCGCCGATGTTGAAAGCCGATCAATAGGCGAGTGAATCACCGTATATCGAAATTTCGCACACGGTGCAGCAAACGTCTTTGGCAGCCCATTAAAACAGACTCCTGTTGCCATAACTGGTGATTCGAAGGATATTTTTTTACCGATAATCTCAACTCGCGTACTCGTATAAATATACACGATCGTTATTCGCTTCGCTTATACTACTGTGTCTCTTGATATCTCGCTGCACGGAATTTTCTTATAAAATTTAACTCTCATACAATTCTTTGAAATGCCAGGTTGTCCCACGATTACACGATCTTTAGAACAAATTTTAAGAGAAAATTCTCTCCGTGTATAAATATGCGTATATTTATAATATATATTATATGTATACGTATTATATATCACACAGTATATCTAAATACTTTAGTATATTTAAATAATTTAAAAACAGTATCGCTCTCTCTCTCTCTCTCTTTGTCTCTCAAGATCTTTACGGAGAGGGCGGCTCTTCTTTGACATTTTTGCGCAAGTAATAAGGGCACGACTTTCGCACCGCGGGAAATCGAAAAGGGACAAGTACTTCCACAACCCTAATCGGTACTAATCTCGCAGTATCCTTTTTTTATATCGCACGTTTCGTCCGCGAGCGAAACACGTATGTACGAACACCGTACGATTGCTCGCCGATAGCCACGACGACGGGGGAGTATTTGCTCTTGAGAGGGCGAATCCTCGGGGGGCGATGAGCCGGGCATTCCAATTTCAGGATCGACGTCTCTGGCGGCGCGAGGAAGAAGTGAACGCGGCCGAGAGGAGGCGAGAATCTCGCCGCCATAAAGATTCGTATCGCCCTGGAAACGTCGAGGAAGAGCGCGAGGAGGCGTGCGCTCTCTCTCTCTCTCTCTCTCTCTCTCTCTCTCTCTCTCTCTCTCTCTCTCTCTCCCCCCCTCTCTCTTTCTTTCTCTCTTCTTTCTTCCCTCGCACCCTCCTGTGCGCTCGGGCGAGTGGGCGTCCCTTTTCGAGATTTACGACAATTTAATCGCGCAATTAATCTAACACCTTGTTGCAACAACACTTCGCGCCGGAGCGCACTTCGGCGGGGAAGTAAAAATTTCGAGCGCGCAAACGGGGGAGGAGGGGAGGGAGAGGGAAATCGAGCCCGCGTCGATCTATCGCGGCTCGGTATCGCGGGGCGGTCGGAGGAGCGCGAGGCTTAACCACGCGTTAAAGGGGAGTAACGAGCACGCAGCCGCGGCGACGGGGCGCGGGCGGGGAAAAGGGGCAAAGGGCGAGAGAAGAGATAGCCGCGGTTTCATGCCGCGCGCGCGGGGCAATCATAGGACCGCGTATCCTTTGGGCTCGCGATAAATGAGTCCTCGCAGGTTTTCTTTTAGCGGAACGCCATTGTTACACGAGCGGCGAAATAGTGTAATTCGAGAGAGAGCGAGAGAGAGAGAGGGGGGGGGGGAGAATACGAAAATCCTTTGATATCGCCGTGTTCTTCCTTCGTAGAGGAGATGCTTCTAATATAAAAATAGCGGGATTTCTATCAAATTAATTGCTCTTAAGGCCTGTGTGCACGATGCTAGAATCTGGTCCAAGTTCTAGTTCCAACAAGCATGTAGCCAATCAACTTGCAGCTTTTATGGAACAGCTGCGAGTTGATTGGCTACACATTTCTCAAAACAAGAACTTGGACCAAGTTCTAGCATCGTGGACGCAGGCCTTTCCCAGCGAGAAATGACTCGTCGATCGATGTCGCAACCCATTATAGTTATGCCCATTTCTACCAATTCCAGATTAACTTTGATCTCAGTTTAACTTACTTTTTGTCTTTTTTTTTTAGTTTCGGGAATCTGGAAAAGATAAAACTTTGGTTAAACGGAGATTAAAATTAATCTTCATTGTTAGAAATGGGCATTAGAGTGTTTAGTGGAAAATTCATTGTTAGATCGCGCGTGTGTAATCGTTGCGAAAAAATATTGTGATTGAATTTGGATGTTGAAGACCTGCTATCTCGTATTAGAAGCCTATCTCATAATAGGGGACTTTCCTTTGTATATAATTATGGCGACAGCCATAAAACGGTCTTACGCAAGTGCGTAAAAGACAGCCCCGTCATAAATTCGCGCGATTTGCGTAAATTCAATTCCGACGCGATCGTCAAAAGCGAGGCGTATATAACCCGTCTCGAGATCCTCCAGGCTGTTGTTCTCGGCGACGTACAGACGGCGAGGACACCCCCGCAAACGTTCGCGCTCAGCTCTGTGTGTACGACCAAGGACAACAACATTCTCCGCAAAACTAATTGCCAGATAAATATATACGAACAACGAGCGGCGGCGGCGGCGCGCGCAGACGTGTCTGTGTGCGTGCGTCGCGGACGACACGCGGGGGCCCCCGCGGGGCCCCGTTGTCTATACGTCGGAATTTATTGCGGCCTGCCCGGAGCGGCCGATAGCGGCAGGCGCGGTAGGGAGGAAGGGGGGGGGGGGAGAGGAGGGAAGAGAGAAAGAGTCGAGCTCTCGTACGAGAGCGCGTAATTTATGCTCTCATTATGCAACAACCGAGATTCATTATGGGCGACACGCGTTGTCTCGCGGATTCGGAGATCTCGATCTCGCGGAGGGACAATCGCCCGACGCTCCACGGAACGAAGGTGTCGGGTACGCGCGGTCGGGAGGGTCGTGCCCTCTCGACGCGCTCTGGAAACCAGGGCACCGTCCTGCGCGCGATTTAGTGATCGCGGAAATAGAGATCGCGCGCGGGGGGAGGGAAGTTGCGAGAATTTTGTTTTTTCGAAGCGAGAAGCCTGGGTGTAATCTGCTCTTTGCGAAGTCGAACGTTCACCACTCGAGTGCATTTCCTTCTTTTTTTTTTATGTGATGTACGATTATTTTCGACGCGGGTGGTGAACCGCGTGAACTTCGCAAGCGCGCGAGGTTTACGTTTGTCGATTAAACATGACGCGACGTTTGACGCAACGCGTGTAAATAATGTGAGGTGGTAAACGTAGAGTTTCTCGCTCCTTCGAAGTCTGTACTCCGAATTGTTCTCGTTCGATTTTGAGGGATTTTCTGTCCAGAAATGATTCGTCGATCAATGTGGAAACGATACGTCGAATCGATCGACGAGTCAATTCTCGTTGGGTGTGGGAACTGGGTGTGAGTCCAAGTTGTAGCATCGTGGGCACAGGCTTCATGAGAAATGCGAGTGGAAAAAATGAAAATTTTTAAAACCTACTTCAACGACATTTACAGCTACAATATTATATTATACATTTACAAGCTTGCTCTTGTTATCGTGACGTCATAGTATAACTAGTAGGTCCACTCCATGGATGTAGGAAATATTTGGTCGGAGCGTGAAGTACCCTTGTGGACACGGGGAGTTAGCTCTGAAGGGTGAGAGGAAAGTTCTTGGAAATGCTGAAAACTTCTCGGAATTTTAGATAGTGCCCACCTCTTTGCTGATTACGTTCTCCTGATACTTTGCCGATTTTCGCGATTTGAGGACCATCCCCGCGGCACTATGCTCCGTCCATGGTCCACTCTCTGTCGGCCCCTTTGATCTTTGTGGTCCCGATCACGTGGTATTCCGCCATGCACTCGGGTAGGATCCAGCGATGTGTGGGTGTATACGTACTTATCAAAGCCACACTGTCACACATATAATTTTTCTCTCATTGGTCTGCCCAGAACAATGTCGGATGCGCAGAAGGGATCGACGCAAAACGAAACAAATGACGGTGTGGGCCTACTAGTTATACTATGGTGACGTCGAGGAGGCTGTTTCATTAACGAAAACTCGCCGCGTCAAAAGCAGCGAGAAGTGCGTGCGCCCTGACCCGCTTTATCACGGGGATCGCGGCGCATGGGAAATGTGGGGGAAGGAAGCGCAAACCGCGGCAGGGGCTCGCGGGGGGTGGGTGCCCCGCCCAGACGCGTTGCATCGCGGAAACTATCGGTCGTCGTAGTGGGCCCGCGGCCGTGCCTGTAATCACCGCGGGCCCCGTAACCGCTCCTCGGCCGGCGACAAAAAACCGGCGGAGAATGAAATACGGATTACAGTGGTTGGGTCCGGGGCCGGATAATGGCCGGATAATGATGACCCCGGCGCCGATTGCCCTCCGCTACCACCGCCCGTCCGCCGCGGCCCCGCGGATCACATTTTCCCCGCCTTTTTTCCCCGTTTCCCCCCTCCCGCCCTCCCGCCGCCCTCCTCGCTCCATCGCGCTTCTTTATCGCGTATCGAGATTTCCATACAAAGTTGCGCCCGGCGATATCCGCGGCGCGCGGCCCGCTGCGTTTCTCACGCGCATCGCGGTGCATACGCTCGCGCGAGTGCATCGGCCTCGCCGGCACGAAAAAGAGGGAGGGTATCGAAGAATTTCCGCGCAGATCGTAACCGTGACTCTCGGTCCCGACGACGGAATCTTGAACTCGATTTACTCAACGCGTCGGGTAAATCGCTGGCGAAATCTCCAAACGAGCCACGAGTCTGACGACGAGTTGGTGAGGAATTGTCGCGACAATCTCGATGTACCGGGGCAGCAGCGAGAGATCATAAGCCCGGATTGTATATGTTTCATTTCGTAAGAGTCTTATTTTTACCTCGCTACATCGTTGGCTTAAGCGCAAAGTATCGTAATCCACAAAATTTGAAAAAAATTGGGGTCTCGCGCTATTAGAATCTTTCCCCACTTAAGTTCTAGTTCCGAGAAATGTGTAGCCAATCAACTCGCAGCTTTTCCATAAAAAGTGCAAGTTGATTGGCTACACGTTTCTCGGAACTGGAACTTGGACACAGTTCTTGGATTGTGGACACGAGGCTTTACCCCGGTTTTCACCAATGTCGTTTAACTTTGATCTCAATCGAAATCATCTTTTGTCTCTTTCTAAAGGCCTGTGTCCACGATGCTAGAATGGTCCACTTGCTGCCACAGGCCTTAAGAGGATAGTTGGTGAAAACCGGGGTTAGTGAAGCTTCTAATGGCGCGAAAACTCAACCTTTCAAATCTTGAGGGTTACTACACTTTGCACTTGCGCCATCAATGTTGTTTTCTCTCTTATCTTTCTTCTTATTATCGCAATGTGCTATTTCTCTCTTATCTATCTTTTCGTTATGACAACGTACTATTTCGTGACGTCGAGGCTTAACGGGGAATGAGATCGAAATAGAACTCGGGATTCCCCAAAGTCGACCACACTGACACTGATTGCGAGCCACGCTCTACCCCTCATGTGTACAGTATTCTATATTACTTATGGTAAATCATATATGTATAGTATAAATCACGTTCGAAACACTCGTGTAGCTGTTCCCCGTCTCTCTCGTTACGTGCGGATGGATCAACCTCGCCAATAAATAAACAAATGAATAAAATGGCGGTCCCGCGCGGCACCGCTTCGGTCGACGCTTCGATTAATGCGCTCGAGCGTGTTCGCGCGTGATGGCCGACCGGCGCATAAACACGCGCGCACACGTGAACGCTAAGCGATTGGCACCGATGAAATAAATCAGGCATCGATCGCGAGAGCGCGGGGGAGGCCCGGCCGGCGCGGACGCTCGCGCTCGTACAGGTGGAATTAATGCGCGAAGATTTCCGATATATCGAGAGCGAGCCGCGAGAATAAATCAGTCCGCTGCACCGGGAACACGACTCGCCGCGCCGCCGCCGTAAGCGGCGCGCGAAAGCGCGGGCGACGAGGCTCGGCGTGACACGCCGGATCGTCCGGGCGAATCGTAAACCGCAAAATTCGTATCGTCCGTTAAAGAGATGCTGGACTGATTCGGCACTTTTTGCACCTTTTCCTCCTAGAACTGTCAATTCATGAAAACACTTGTGTAATATACAAATTATGTGGCTTTTGTGTACAGACCAACAGTGTCCCACTATTCGGACTGAATCAGAGAAATAAGTTACGAGTTATTTGAGTGAATGGACTTCCTGTTAGGCTTCTAAACTTAATTTCAATTTCAGTTCTCTGATTTAGTCCAAATAGTAAATGGACACTTTCGATCTATACGCATAAGACTTATAATTTGTGTACCCAAATGTTTTCCTTGAATTGACAGTTCTAGATGCATTTAATGCTAGAACTTGGACCAAGTTTCAGCATCGTGGACGCAGGCCTTTAGGGCGATCCCTCGCGATTGGGATCTGAACGTTAATTAAACGAGACCGATGATTCGCAACAAGGACCAAAATCCGCCCTTGTAAACTCCTCTCCGGAAACGTGCATTTCGCAGACGCGCCGCGGAGGCCCGGGACGAATCAACGATCGCGCGATCGGTTGACCGGAGATCGTTTTAGCGAGCGAGGTGTCGGCTTGGGCATCGCGGACGCGAACATAAATTCAAATTAGCGGCAATTTAACGCGCAACCGTGCGCCGATCGGTCTCTCTTCTCCCCGCGTCTTCGAATGACAGTAAATCGTGGAGGAGACCTATCGGCCTCGGTCGATCGCTCGAATGTCGACGCGCGTTTCCGAGGGCATATTTCGCGGATTCCTTCGTCGCGAACTCGGTGTCAGCGACTCGACGGAAAAGTCGACTCCTCGCAATTGTACGAGCGGGAGTATACACGTTTGCATAAATGCGTAGACATTTAAGAAATTAATTGGTTCATAAGCAAATGCATAAGCAAGTGGACTCTCCGCTTTACGCGCGACTGTCGATTTAAAGTCTCGCTCGGAAAGTCTTATGTCAAAAGAGATGCGCATCGCGATTCCGCGAATCCCATGCGAAGAAAGAACGTTCACAAATCACGGATGTCTTTCGAATATTGTGCGCCGCCTGGGATATTATGAAAGAAGATATAACGCTACATCCCCGTTTAAAATAATAGCTGGAATATGATCAGATTTTCTTCAATCACTTTTATTCACTTTAGCTTACAGCCGGAAAGTGGGACTTGGTTTACAATAAAATCTTATGTCATTCATTCATCCACCCCTCACTACTCTATTATACATTATAGAATATGATCAGATTTTATGTCACCGGCTGAAAACTTAATATCAACAGTCAATACCTTCGATCACCTGCGACTTACCCGAACGATAATTACCCAGGTTTACCTTATGTCGATACACAGTCTTCCATGTGCGTCGAATTAATTAACAGCCGCGTGTCAAACCGCACAGTCTACATACTCGTCGTCGTTTATAATAATTTATGCGGCGAGTGAATCCGCGTGAACGTAAAGTGAATATACAAAAAGTATTACACATACAATTTCGAATACCGACAGCACCGAGTGGTGGAGCTTGACGTTTCCACCGCACGGGACCTCTGAGTGCGTGTCCCCAGGCGCAGAGCCGCCACTTGCTGTCAGTGAATCCTCGCGAAGGTCACGCGGGTGACTCCGAGATATATTGGGAGCGTTGTGCCTCGCACGAGAATTTTCACGACCATTCGACGTGACGTCCGCTGCCTTCGACATGCTGCCCCGATTTCTCAGGCCCGCCGTAAATGTCACGCGACAGGGCGCGAAGCGGTTGTCGACGAGCGCCACGGTAATGTACCACTAAAGTACACCGACCAGTCTGATCGCCACAAACCGACCGGGAATTAATTTACGTTGACAAACGTATCGCGAATAGTGGAATAACATTGTTACTTACTTCGCCACGCCAAGTGTCGCACGTGCGACACGAATCGGCGATTCGGTGGAGCGACAAGTGTACAGTTTCTTCAAAGGGTTAGCTTCAAGAATTATATTTCGTCATGCATATCTATTTCGATATGCTTATTTTATGCGCACACGCATACACATATATAAATTGACGTGTCCTCATATTAGCATACAAGTCGCTGATTGTGCCACGTTTGCTTTATCTGGTGGATCGCTGGTGATAACCACGGAATGTCCCTCGACCTTTCGCGACACATATGGCGCGAGAGATATCACTTGTCACCTATCAGTTACGCAGTCCTGACATCGTATATCGTCGGGCCGCGATGCTGCCATCGTAATCGGAACGTCGTTATGCAACTGCAAATTCGGCGACCAACGCCGACACATTAAATTGGCACGCTTTCGGAACGCGATTGCGAAAAAGAAAAAGAAGGAATACTTCTGATCTGTCGTATGCGATTTTCGTTTTTAGTGCAGTTAGAATCGATTCTTTACGTCTGCATGAAAATAATGAGCCAAAAATAAATCGGGCGAAGCATTGAATTTAACGGGTGAGAATTTGAGGAATCTGCAGGCGAATCTCAATTGGGAATGTAATTATTTAAGCTCGGTTTCGCCGACGTCGCTTAACTTTGAGCTTGGCCTAATTCAACCGTTGTCTCTTTCGTCAGAAAGTGGCAAACAATAAGTTAAACTCACAACAAGGTTGAGCGACGTTGGCGAAACTGGGCCTCGCAAGATTTAACGGAGGCAAAAAGATTATTTTCTCAATTTCTCAATTGTCTCCTTCGACTGGCTTCAGTTCTAGGCGATGGTTTCTTTGCTGATGTCCTGACTGTGTTTTTTTTCCAGCGCAATGCAAAAGTCAGCGTCATGGGAGCGAGCGGTGGCATTGGCCAGCCACTGTCCTTGCTCCTCAAACACTCACCCCTCATCACGGAATTGTCACTGTACGATATCGTAAACACGCCCGGCGTCGCCGCCGATCTCTCACACATGAACACCCCTGCGAAGGTCAAGGCTTACAACGGTCCAGAACAGCTTAAAGATTCCCTCAAAGGGGCACAGGTAATGTAGTTACGATACAAAGGATTATATCATATATATTTGATAGATACAGTTTGCGCCACAAAGACTTGAAGCCTGACCTGTGTACAAATGAGCCCTTTGCGTCTAGAAGCGTTCTATTTTGTTGCCAATACATACGTTTGAGAAATTTGTGCAAGTTGATAAATTATGCATTGCTCCTAAATTTTTTGACCATTTTGATTTACGTATCTATACGGAGAGAGTTTTTCTGTAAAGTTTATTCTAAAAATCGTGTCGGACAACATCGCATTTTGAAGAACTTTGTGAAAATGTTACCGTACATTTTACTGGTAAAATTTCAAAGAATTCTCCTAAAGTCCTTCGAAGTTCCGTGTTGCCCCACAATTACGTGATTTTCAAGATAAATTTTAAGAGAAAATTCTCTCCATGTATACATACAATAGAAGGTTTCTAGACGCAAAGAGCACATTGCAGATCAGGCTTTATACTTGTATTAAAAGATGTTTATGCTCTTTACTTAATTCATTAAATTGGAATTAATCGACCTTGTCTTGAGCGTTCACGATTAATGAAGCTTTTTAGTCGACATTAACCGGCTAGTGTTTTAATACAGAAAATTTATTGCGAAAAATATTACCTCAGCCAGGGTTTGAACCTGGACTTCCCTTCTCTAAGACTCCCCCTCTCTAGAGAGAAGGGAAGTCCGGGTTCAAACCCTGGCTGAGGTAATATTGTTCGCAATAAATTTTCTGTATTAAAACACTGGCCGGTTAATGTCGACTAAAAAGCTATTACTGGCAATTAAAAGAGATTTCTATGCTCACGATTAAGTAATGTTTTCGGGCTTATTTTTAGGTCGTCATCATACCTGCGGGCGTTCCACGCAAGCCGGGCATGACCCGCGACGACCTGTTCAATACGAACGCCTCCATCGTCCGGGATCTCGTCGTTGCGATGGCCGAGGTCGCGCCAAAGGCCTTCGTGGCGATTATCTCGAATCCGGTCAACAGCACAGTGCCAATCGCGAGTGAGGTGCTACAGAAGGCCGGTGTTTACGACCCTAACCGTGTGTTCGGGGTAACCACTTTGGATATCGTCAGGGCAAACGCGTTCATCGCGGAAGCGAAGGTACTAAATATAGCAAATATATTTATAGTTGAACTTGCGCTCTTGATACGCCCAAAAATGATCTCTCGCGATGAACACGTATACGTGCGTTTTGAAAGTTACTATAGCAACCGTGATAAGCCGGACTTCATCTGTTTCGACATACGCGCCTCGGTTATTTCTTTCGCCCATATTTCTCAAGTACGAACATTCGACTTCAGCTTTTCCATGCGCAAAGAATTAAGTAGCTTGGTAGTAGTACGAGAAAAAAGATTCGTAGAATTCTTTGCTTTCGATATGATCCCATGGATGCAATAAATAATTGAAAAATGTTGAACGCAACGGCATTGATTTTGTTTATAATTGAGCCGGGACGATAACCATATATCGCTTTATTTTCCGTCCGTCGTAATGGGCGGGGGGGGGGGGGAAAGAAACGGCTGCTAAGATAGACGATTGATTTTTCAGGGTCTTGATACGCAGAAGGTCAACGTCCCAGTCATCGGTGGACACAGTGGCATCACTATTATTCCGTTGATCTCGCAGTGCACGCCGTCGGTTTCCTTCCCGGATGACCAACTTAAAGCGCTCACCGGGAGGATCCAAGAGGCCGGTACCGAGGTCGTTAAGGCCAAGGCGGGGACCGGATCCGCGACTTTGTCCATGGCTTTTGCCGGCGCGCGATTCGGTCTCTCGTTGATCAGGGCGTTGAATGGCGAAACGGGTATCATCGAATGCTCGTACGTCAGGTCGAGCGTCACCGACGCGAAATACTTTTCTACGCCGATCCTCTTGGGCGTAAGTAAACGCATAAGAATAAACCGCATTACCCGTTATCGTTTATTTCGGAAAATGTGACTTTGAACAGAAATTTATCGTTTTATATTTGCTTTCAGTCAGTAGAAAATATTATTTTTTATTACACCATCTGCTTTTAGGGTGTGATATGACATATTTCAACTGTAATATTCAATTATTGTTACATGGGATTTTGTAAAAAGTATAAACAATTTTTTTTTTAGGGAGACTGTTTCAGATAGAGAGTGCTATATGTATAATATAAAATATATAGGCTTTATTCTTTAATTACATTATAAAAGATCAATACTTAATGGAATTTCAGAAAAATGGAGTTGAGAAGAATTTGGGATTGGGTAAACTGAGCAGCTTTGAGCAGAAACTGCTGGACGCCGCCATCCCGGAGCTCAAGAAAAATATTCAGAAGGGAGAAGATTTTGTAAATAAAAAGTGAATTCTCCGTCGGGCCTTAGCCGAATAGAACACGATCTGTCGTAATTGCGCGTGAAAATTGTCGGCCTTGGTTGCACGCCTCGCAACTGTCACAATAATCGAAGTCTTTTTGACCGGGAATATATCTTCCAATTTTACCGACCTGCTGCCATGCATGTAAACGTGTAGAACCACGGAGTAGATGATCGAATATTGAGATTATGTAAGTATTGTAAATGAAAAATATATAAATTGCAGAGAAAGAAAGATTATATATAAAGTATAACGTATGAAACATGTAAAGAACGTATAAAATATTAGGATTTTTCAAAATGTCCGCTCGAACAATTTCTTGTATAATGTAGCGAAGATTGGAATAAACGCTCTTTCGGCTAAAGGTAAGAAACTTTCTTTCCACATTTATAAAAATCTTATATTTGTTCGTGATTTAAAGTACCACTTTTCTTCAAATTGAAACTCGATCTGTCTACGCATATTGTGTCTTTGATAATCAAATTAAATAAAATTTACTCTATTTTGATTTTAAACCGTAGACCTTCTGTAGGAACATAAAGTTTACGATATAACGTATTTAATCGGTAGATTTGCACGCGAATAACAGTTATCATTGTCGTCTCTCGTCACGTGTAAACACAAAACCATAATAATACGTGAGTGGGCAACCTTGAGACAGGCAGTGGTAAACTCTCAAGCGTGTAGGTAACAACTAATTTGCCCGTCTCCGCGATTCGTGTGAAAGTACAACGCGACAATCGTGCTTCGAATTAAATCGCGCAACTTAACAAGAGCAATCCAAGATTTATATAATTTATTGCGAGGCAATCGTGTGTACAGCGTATATATAGCGATTGCAAATCCTTGATGACGAGACGCAGGCTGCGCAAGCGATCGCGGCAGGCGGTCCTTCAGAAGAACGTCCGGTCGAGGCTTTCCAACTCGAAGAATGAAGACGAGGAGAGGAGCGTCTTGTCGCGTACGCGTTCTCCGGAATCGGTGCTGTTCGAGTCGCAACACGTGGACCCGCTGTGCGGCGATAAACTCAGTCCGGAGCTCGTCCCCAGGCGACGTACAACGAGGTCGGAAGACCTCAAGGACGATCGGGAGATCGACGATGGGGTCGTCGCGCAGATGTTGAAGCAATCGAGCCCGATCTCGCGCAAGGGCCACGAGTTGGATCTATCGCTGTGCGACTTGAAGCGCGGTGACGAGCGCATAAATGACTTTCCCAATTTAGAGGACTCCAGAGAACGCGAGCTCCGGGACGCCACCAAGTCGATCGTCGACGACCCGTTCGACCTCACGAAAGACTACTCGTTTAATCTATCGTCCTCGAGCAACGAACAGAGTAACAACGGAACCGTCGGCGAGACGGCCCGTCGAAGTGTCTTGGGGTCTCGCTTGGTATCGAACTCGCGCGACGATGTACGCGCTTTCGCGAGCGTCCCGGGGCCCGCGAGCTTCGAAAAGGGATCTTTCGGAGCGAGAGCGGATCAGGATCGTTATAATATACTTGAAACGATGAACGATTGTTACATGTTGAACAAGACGCTTTCGGTCAACGACAGTCTCGCGCTCAAGATGAACGGCTATCCGGACGGATGGACGTCGACGGCCACCGTCGGCGAACCAGGAGGAGATCGTGTCTCGGAACTCCCGGCTCGCAGACCCGACGACGCACCGCGAGACGACCCGGACAGAAAGAGGAGGGCGGCATCGAGCTGCAACAAGAGATTCGACCTCGCGCTCGAGAGGCTTGGCGAGCGTTTGACGGCGAACTGGCGCGAGTTCCGGAGGATCTTCGCGCATCTGCGGCGGTCGGGCAGGAGGACTCGCGGCGGGAGCGCCCTGGACTACCGCGGTGAGTCCTTCCTGCACAGATACAGGAGATTTCCTTACGTCTCCGTCTCGACGTTGTCCCTGCCCGCGTCCGTCCCTCGCACGCCCTCGCCGAAGCGGGCGAGTCGCGACAGGGCCCGCGAGTCCGCGGGAGCGAAGCGAGAAGCCGAGGCAACGGGGATTCCATCGGAAACCACGACGCCTCGTATCGGCCAGGTGAAATACTGCCGCCGAACGATCTTGACGTTCGGGGACGAGGACGAGGAGAAGGCGGCCAGGCACCGGCAACCGGCATCCCGCGCGAACACAGCGGATCCGCTTTCGGCGGGCAGGAGGAAGGGCAAGGGACGTTCGTGTCTGCTAGATCCACCGATGTTCTCCGATGAAGCGCGCCGGGACGACGGTATTCCGGAATCGGCGGTCGCCTCTGAACTGTCCGATCACGATGGTGACGGCGGTTCCCCGCGAAAGGTACATCTGCCGTCGGGTAATATGAGTATTGTACAGTGTTTCTTGCTCGCGACATTGTAATTCAATACGACATGCATTGAGGAAAGATAGAAGCCTTGTGTGGAATCTTGTTCGAACTCTCTAAGAATTAATCGGCGAAATATTCACTGAAGACAGTGAACAGTCACGGACTCTTCAGTGGTGTACTTATAACTGCGAAGTGACCATTCGCTGTTTTCACTGATCTACTTTTAGAGAGAAAGCAAATACATTTTTGCCTCTCCGGTTCTTGATTTTGCAATGAGTCGTCGGACGTGCGTTTTCACGCAAGTATGAATTTACGCTTCTTCTAACGATAATTCGAAATCCTCTTCTCCATGTTTGCGAATAATTAGATAGAACATCATTGGGACGACACTCCTTGTAAGCCCAAAACGCCGCAAAACGTCGCAACGCCTCGAGACTCCCGCGGCCACGTAACTCGAAGAAACACGGTAATCGCATGGCTGATCGCTGCCTGTATTTGGCTGATACAAAAATTGCTGGATCTCGTGAATGCCGTAAGTCTCCTGAAATTTGTGCAAATGATTCTCGTTTCCTCGCTGCGGTCATATTGAATTATAGTCAAATCTTTTACGTTAGACACAAGACTGACGTCAATTTTTTTTCAGAGTTATAACAAGCTACGACAGAAACTGACTGTGGTCCCGCCCTCGTCGAATTGTTGCACTGAGAAATTTGATTGTCTGATGGAGACAATGAGCTCCCACAGCGAGATGTTACACGTAATGTCGGAGAAAATGACGCGACTCTCCGAAGATTTTGTTCAAGTAAGACTAAAAGACCTTTCGTATTCAACGTTTGAATTTCACATTGCGAATTGAAGTACAAACGACGAATTAGAATGTCTGTACTGTGACTAAGATTTTTTACGGAAATATAAATGTATAATATATTTGTATGTTTATAAATCTATATATTAATATTACATCTTGGTTCGTTGTAGAAACAAAGAATCATCGAAGCAACCCTTAATGCTCTGACAGCCGAGATGAACGTCTTTCGTGAAGCTAATAAAAAAATGACGGACGATAATGTGGCACTGCTACGGGAGCTAAAGAAATTGCACGAAATGTTGGAAGTTCGAATGAAA